ATCAGTGGAACAGTCATGGAACAGCTAAAAATCAGCTAATTATCATGCAAATTAAGTAATTAATATTCATGGGTTTTACCAAAACCTAATCAACTCTGCGCATTATCCCAGAGCATCTATGTAGCAAGTTTCACCAAAATTTGATTAGTGGTTCTTGAGATAACGGTGGAACAAAAAAAGTGACATACATACATACATACATACATACAGACATACAGACATACAGACAGGGTAACTGCAAAGACTCCCTTTTATGCTTCGCACACGGGAGTCAAAAATGTATGTGCATTAATAGACAATGTTCAATGGCCATACCAAGAGTAAATAAGATATGTTCATGCGTGACTGAGATCCGGTTTCAGTATATTTTTTATTTATTTTTTTATTAGACGCATAAAATCCTTAGGAAAGGATAAAAAGGGTCTTACAGAAAGAAATTTAAAAAAAAAAAAAACTACAATCTAAAAAGTAAAACAAAAAATAAAAACTTTTCTAAAAAAAATAAAACAAATCAAAAACAATAAAGACAATTTGCAGCCAATGGTGAATACAGAATATGGAATGAACACAAAATGTAGCCTAATACACTGATAGTTGTTGCTGTTTTGTTCCATAGCCGTTTTTAGGAAGACAGCTAAGGCTGGTGCTAGAGTATGGTTTGCCATAATCAAAATGAATTTATTCTGACTATTTTCTTTATCAAAAAAGCAGAAATGCTTGATTTTGATAAAATGTTAGCACTAAAATGGTCACCATTTGGCCATCTTGAATTGGATCATGAAACATGAATGATATGATGTGTGTGTAACATTTGAATAAACTCGACCTAGATATGTCTGAGATGCAGGTGCAGACAGACAGACACATGGAGGTGAAATTACATCTGAACAGGGACTATAAATCTGATTAACATTATTCTTAGATGAGTATTTTCAATAAAAGTGTGCATAAAACAAAACTTGCATTTGTTGTATAGTGACATATTTTGACCATGCATACATGCACATTTCAGTCATTTATTTTAAGCCCATTGTAATACGGTATAAATATCAGTCCTGGTGCATATATTCTCACTATAAAAATAGATATTTTTACAGATTGTGCTGCATCTTTATTTAGTAAAATAGAAAGTACCCGTAGCTCTTAAATAACATGCTAAAAAAAAGACATTTTTATAGTCGTATTAAAAAAAAAACGATCTCAGCTCATCAAAATCTGTCTTATATGTAATCGAAATTTAAAGATTATAATCTCACAAAATAACATAACAGCATCAATAATTAGAATGAAATTAACAATTTCAAATTTCAAGAAACAGCTTTCATTAAGTTTTATCAAGAAGAATGTTTTTGTTACTTTTCAGTGGCACTAAGTCACAGCTAATGCTGATCACAAATAAATAATTTATGTTCTTCTGATCACCCCAGTCTTGACATGTTGCATACATGTACTGTTGATTACAATTCACAAAAATAATGCATTTAATCTTGTCAACGGATTATACATATTTCAATATCAAAGTACACGATGAAATCAAAGAATTATTTATTTAAAAGTCTGGTTTAATGACATATAGTTCATTGCACACAAATAAAAAAAGTAATGATCAAGACTTGATTGTGATTGTGACATTATTTTACAAATATCAAGTTTTCAGAATATAATATTCAGCATCAATTACGAAGCTTGAATGTCAAGGTGATATTTTGGAAGAGCTTAGAGCACTCCTGCAGTTGTATACAAGATAGATAATCTTTAGTTGAAGCCATTATTTCATCAAAGCTATGTTACTCCTCAGGCTTCCATAGTAGCTTTCACATTGTCCTGTCTGTTCTATTAAGTCAAGAATAATGTCCGCCTCAAGATTTACAGCCATATTCTTCAATAATTTACTGGTACCTTATAAATCCATGGGAAAAACCAGCATTACCCTAGAGGGTCTTGTGATTTTTATAGAACAACATAGGGAGTCTATATACCTCCTGCTGGATATCTTAAAGATGCATCATCAGTATTTCTCACCAGTTTGTTCAAAATTTGTATTCCATATAAAACCAATCCAAAATGACTTTGCAATACCAAATGAGTAAACACTGTGATATGTCATATATTATCATTTATTATGATAGGTAGCCTGAAATCCAGCAATTTTGGGTACACTCAAGAATGACCTGGTCAGTCGCTATGCAACTGTGTAGTCGGAAGAGAATTCTGCGTTAACGATGATACGAGTGAGCAAATGGGTTGGATGTCCTGTAACTAGCAGAAAATGATGTCCATTTCATCCAAAATTAAAAAAGAAATTTTAGAAAAATACATACAAAAGTGCAAATATGTGCACCAAAATGTTGGACAATTAAAATATCACATTCAAAAAAATAATTAATTACTGAAACAAGACAAAAGTCAGAAAAATCATGAAATCAGACAAGTCACAGCAAGTTTCAAAAAAAGTATTGTCCTCATGAATACGCTGGTATAATTACTGGCAGTGATAATTCAATGGTTTACATTGTACTGTACCTTCTTTGCTTCTTTCATCAACCACCACTCATAGCCACGGTAATAATTCTCATCGTCACTACTATGCATATGGGAAGGTTCACTTCCATCTGAACTCTGAGCATCACCTCCAATTTCAACTTTGAAGATATGTAGTGAGGCGCCAAAATTTGGCTATAATAAAATACAACACATTTGATATGAATATCAAGTGATAAAGTAGAGTAAGAAATGTTTTATGTATTCCTTATTCATTTTATGTATTCGTCCAATTTGCAAAAGACCCAATTACGGTAGATCTAGAAGCCACATGTTGTCAAATTTCAACAAAAAAATGATTTTTCCAGTATTGTTTATTTCTCGCTGTTTCTTGCGATGGCTGGCATGAGAGAATAGAACCATTTTTTATTGTAGAGAATCTCTTTTCTCAAATAAGTATGTAAGGGTCTACATATACACTCAGTTTGAGCAGAATATGCTCAATAAACCACCACCAACCTCCCAAAAATCTGGCTCCAAATTTGCATGATTATGACTGATTTGTAATCATTTTTAGCAAAAAAATGTCAGCCAACAGGCAGGATCTGGTTGCTAAACAAATGTATAAATATTGCATTTAATTTAAAAAATCAACAATATATATATATATATACTGGGTGAGGTTGAACCCTGAAATAATACACAGAGAAAAAAAAACATTTTTTAAAATTGTTTTGATCATTGCATTGTACCATAAATTGTTCAAGTAACTGTGATGCTATACTTATTTGCAGCTTTTGTTTACTTGCTTTCTCTGAGGCATCAATGTTTTTTATGTAAAACATCAGTAAACCTTGGGTGACCTTTGACCTATCGCAACAATTTCCCCGCTACCAGAAAATGAATATGTTTTCACAATTACAACTGTACAATGTACCTGTAATATATTCCTAATATTCATATCTGTGGACAATCAATTAGAAGTATTATAAATCAATTTTATGGGAGCTATTTTCCAAGTAGAGCACAAGGCAGAAAATGTATCATGAATGTGATAGGTAGTCTCTAGCCAATTTTAACTTCTGCTGTTTAGAATGTTTAGAGTCTTCTAGGTAAATATTTTATAAATTCCCATAAAAAGCATTCATGACTAAGTGAAATTTGGTGTATCCTTTAAAAAATGTACATAGTATTTCATACCAAACAGTAGAATTCTGTACAGATGTGCCCTGGGATGAAAGAAATAATAAGGTAATCAGTAATCACATTCATTTGTATTTTGTTGAGAACCATAATTTGTTTGGCTTAAGCTTTAGAGTACATACTATAATTTTTCTTGCCACTCCATTTTTCAAATTTTTATGTATTTTTCTAGAATTTGTTGATAATTTTGAACCAAATTGACATAATCTTACATTGCATAAAGGTCTTTACCAAAATTTTTGAAAAAAAATTGAAAAATTGTTGTGGTTTTAATTTTGTGAAAGATGACTTTGTCATTCAAAGGTTGAGGAGATTCAGACCAAATTCCAAATCATTTAAAATTATATTTTCAGAAATATGAATCTTCAACGCAGATAGACAGAAAATGAAACGTAAAAGAGGGAACACTGGACAACTATTGTAGCCTGAATTTTCCGACGTTTCCATTGTATCTGTTTTTTGCATTGGTTTCTATGGTGACAGTATTTCATCAAGTCTAGACATTTGTCTTGGTGACAGCTTGCATTGTATCACCAATATTATTGTCATAAATTTGCAAAAAAATTGTCATGTACCGTAATTTTGTTTTCAATATTTCCATTCAAGATAATTTTTCACCCACAATGCATTTCAAATATTCTCAGTTACATACCCAATATAGAGCGCTTCATTAAATATCAAATACAGAAAAATCCATACATTTTTTAAATATCTTTGTTTGATATTACTTGATTCATCAAAAGCTAAATATTTGCTCTGTGTCCAGCACAAACAACAGTATTTGTTCAGTGTAAAATCAAAACATATATGCAGTGATTGTTAGCATGTGTAACACAACAATCACACATACATATTTGAAAACGTCCTTCTGTTGCGTGCTGTTGTGTTCAACAACATACAATATCAAAGAATATTTAAAATCATCCATATTTTATCTTGAATATTAAAACAATTTCAGATCTAAATAATCAATAATAATAATCTCAAAATATATTTCTAAGATCCAGCTTTTTTGACAGTGCTGTCAAGTTGAATAAATCAGGTCTACCATAGCAATCAATATATTGGTAATACATCTATGGAAATATTCAACTACAGTCATAAATAATAAAATCAGCAAATTGGGTATTTCATCCCCAATTCGCAAATATATGTTTCTAATTTAGTGTATGATAAATAATAAATGAGTTGTGTCCATTGCGAGATGAAATAAATAGCACTCTGGCAACAAAAAATTAATAATAGCACTCAGTGTGTCAAATAAATATATATACTGATCAGAAGGTTGCTGATGCGAATGATGAACTCTCCGTTGTAGTGACAGTTAATTTGCCTACAATTTCATTAATTTAAAAGCCAGTAACTGGCACATGTAAAGCTTACATGCAATAAGACATGACCGTGAGCAAGCTAAATTATCTCCACTGGAAATACAAATATAACCTTCGTATTGGAACGTAGTATCTGTGGCATACAATTTGCTATGGTAAC